GGTTTTCCTGGGTTTAAAGGATTCATTCTCGGGCAACACTGATTAGAGTCATACGCTTATCCCAGAATGTTTCACCCCTATTTTAAAACAACAGCCAATGAAAGCTGCCTACAGAGTCACTCGTCTTTTTCAGTCTTCTTAATCTCCTACTCACGGCGGGCGGCCGGGTTTGTTTTTCAAGATATCTAAGGAACAGGCAGTTAATCTCAACAAGGAATCGAGGAGTAACAAACAACAAGATTCAACCTGAGAGGAAAGTCTGCTCGTGTGAAAAAGCTAAGGGCATGGGAGGTCACGAACCCCAAAGCGCAGAAACAGGCGGAGGTGAAGCCTGACTAGAGGTGCGTGGGGGGGGGGGCTGCTACTGGGGGGGAAGGGGAGAGCTAGAGAGACCAAGGGAGCTTACCTTTCCTCTCCATGGCGGCCAGAGACGGCAGCCCCCCCGACCCCCCGCGCGTGCGCTCTAAGGACGTCCCCTGCGCTTGCGCTGGGCGCGGACGAGCCGGTCGGCGCGTGCGTACAGCCGGTATCTTCGCGCGCCGTTGCGCGCGCCACCAAATGTCCTCGACGATGCTGCTGTCACTTCCTTCCGAGCTGGGGCTGCTCAGAAAGGCCACTCCCCCTGGCTCTTCCAAGCGACTCCGGCACCGCCCGCGGGTCTGCATGAGCGGCAGGGGTGGGAGCCGCGCATCGGGTGCCTGTCCTGCCTCACCCTGGCCCATGTGCGCAGTGCACGCACCTCCTCCTGCCCACGGCTTTGTTTTGATCGTTCCCTGTCTCACTTTCTCTCGAGGTTTCGCCGGACTTACTGGGGCGACGTAAACCCCACGCAAACAGTTACGGCACTCAGCCGCTTGAGAAGGGATTGTGATGCAGCTGTCAGCCTTTATGATTCTGGGCGAGCTCTGAACTCACAGATTGGACGAGGAAGTAAGCAGACAAAAAGCCGTGGAGACGCTGCCTTACAAAAGTAAGCGGCGCGTTCCGGTAGATTGTGTTTTGTTATGTGCTCCTTCCACCGGTAGATGTCGCGGTGGATTGCGGCACTGAATTTATATCAGCCTTACAACAAGCGTAGTTTAAAAATACACACGAATGAAATTTGGATCGTAGTGTTAACGGCTATTAGTGGTGTATTTGTGGCACAACGTCTTTGTATGTGGCGTTTAGACCATTTCTAATATTCTTGAAAAATAACTTTCTGTTGCTTTTCCTGTGTTTTGTTTTTGAGTTCATTAAAACTTTGTATACAGTTTTGTCCTGTCATCTGGTTTATAACTGAAATTTTATGAGTCATATATTAATATATGCATCTTATTTAAAATATGTCAGTAGACACACATTGTTGTATTGAGCCTAATCTCATCAGCCCCAGTTTGGGGACACAGAACAATGGACTGCTAGGATCCTGTGATGGACCTATCACCCAGGAGTGCCTCTGTAAATAGCCTATTGTTCGGAGTGGGTGTGTGATGGGTGTGCCGTTTTACCTGGCCCTGCTAGAGTTGTCTTTCCTTCGGAGCTGAAATCACAATAAACTATGAGCTGATCACTAACAGGTGTCGAACCCAGTATATTTCACACATAGTACTGGGATACACTGCATGGATACTAGCATGCCCAGTCTGCAGATTCTATTTACTATCAAGGACCAGGATAGCCAGAGATGCCTTTACCAGTTTGTATTTTGCAGCTGTGTGGAACTAAGCTTGCACCTATGGAAGGAACAGAAGTATGACTGTGTAATAAGAACAACACAGGTTGATTAAACGTCTTCCACGTTGCTTTAATTGCTACAGTGAATGCAGAGGCATATACGTTGGCTCTAGAGCTTCAATTCATTGAGTTAGCTGTTCGCTCAACTCTGGGTGCCCACAAGAGCTGACAGTGGGGAAATGACACTGATATGGGAGGACCTTTATAGGTCAGGAAAATGTGCATTTTCTTTTCCTGATGGTGTGCTGATACATTTGAATTGTATTCTCTCCAAAAAGCTGAGTAAAGCAAGTTTGGGCAAGAGTATATTGAGGATGGGGAAAACCTTGAAACAAAGCAATTACAGCATGATGTGTGAAACCTCCAAAAAATCACTCCGAATTGAAACACTTCTACATGGAAGCAGCCTGTACAGGTAGGGAGAGGCTTGGTAGTGGCCACCTGGAATGCCATCCTATCTAATCCACAATGTCAGGATTCCACCTGCATATACTGGAAAGTGCATTCCACTCCTTTCAAAGCTAAGTCCAAACAGAAGACCATAGGCTAAGTAAGCGACATACCTCCTGCCATGCACTTTTAAAAAAATTGATTTACACTATTTATAGTCCATCTTTCTCACTGAGACTCGAGGCAGATTCCACAATGTAAGTCAGGGCAATCAAAAGAATAAGACATTCAGACAGAAATCTGAAAATAAAGCATAAGTATTAGACAGTATCTGTTAATTGTGCCAAAAGGTGGAGTTACATTGATAGATAACAATATGGTGAGACCAAGGTAATAAATATGGCAAACTGATAATACAAGTGGGAGGCCGTAAAACTCGTAAGAGAATTCCATATCAGCCCCCATTGTGGCTCCAGGCCCCACCATCCACCTTAAGCCCAGTGGCGACAGTGCCAGTGTGTCGGCAGCTGCTCTAAGGCCAGAGCAGCTCTCAGCACCCCAAGTTTGCAGAAAAATATATTTAGTATCAGTGTGGTCCCAAATGAATTTATGTATCTGCAGATGCGGGCCACATGTTGCTATTAGATATATAGATATGCTGTCCACTGTAGTGTAACCTACATTCTAGTTCCCTTTACCGGCTCAGCTTTTGGAACATAGTCCTTGAACATCATAATAGTCCTATTGCCTTTATAAAATATCAGGAACATGAAAGAACAAAATAGAATCTTACTTTCTTAGAGGTGGTACAACTTTAACAGGCACTAAACCATCAGGTGTAGCTTTCTATGGCACTCAGGTGCATATGAACACATGAAACTGCCTAGTAGCAGCCCTGTTCACAAGTTACACCGAATACACGTACAAGCCATGTACAATGTACACTGGATTTTTGTTTCTATGCACATTTAGTAATTCTCATGTTACATTAAATGCATGTACAGCTGAATGTGTTATTGAAATCCCATACTTATGTGGTCCCTAGTTTCATTTGTAAAGGGAACATGCAATGGTTTGTTCTTACAGATGTATACATTGGTCCATCAAGGTTGGTATTGTCTATTCTGACTGACAGTGTTTCTCTGAAGTCTCGGGTCCCTGTGCAGTGATGGGAATAGCAACTTTTCTTGAATTCCTGCATGCTGTTAAGTTCTGAAAGATACTTAAAGACTCTGTTAGAGAAAAAATGGCAACCCAAGGTTAGTCAAGCTTAATGGACAGTAAAGTTGCAAATCAGAGTTAATGCAAAGGGAAAGAACTGCAAGGTGTTAGCTATCCCCTTAGAAAAGCCTTAAAGGCACTGGACCCACATACTCGCTGGACATCCTCTTCTGTGTTCTGTTAAGACAGCTCCACTTATCTGAGCAAAGCCTTCTGAAAGTGCCACGCTGCAAACCTGCAAAATCAGCAATTCTCCAGGTGGCTCCTACATTGTGGAATGGTCTGACTGAGGTTATTAGGAAGCCTGCCACCTACTTCTGTCCTTTTGCAAAATATGCAAAACTGAATTATTCAGGAGGCTTTTTGTAGAAGGTTCAAAGCTGCAGTCTAATAGTTCAGTTTGAGAGGTTGCCTTAAACATATTGTTGCGTGCATTGTTTTGTTCCCTTACTCCTCCCCCTGTTCTACAATCTCAGATCCTCTACAATTTTTGTCTTTAGATTCAAATGTTATATCTTATAATCCACTTAGTGACTGACTGAATTTTTAAAATCATATTTGTAATGTGTCCTAGTGAGAAAGGTGGACTATAAATGAAAATAATAAATTTGCACAAAAAAACTAGCTGTGAATGTTGGTCATCAGAATTTATGGAATCTAGGAATATAATTCAGTTCAATTATTGATTAAATGGATTGTAATAGACAATCACAATGAATATGGGATTCTTATTGTAAACAGCAATTGTAAAAACAATTATTGTAAAAACAAATCAGTTTACATTTTTGGGAGGCGAAAACATGTTTGTTACAGCAAAACAAAAATTCTTATAGAACCAGGGCTGGGGGGGCGTTGCTGGAACTCTCAAAAGGGAAATGAAATTTTCAATCTGTATACTATATACTCATGTACTTTTAAAGATTTTAAAAATAATTTTGTTGAAGAGGTTCCAGAACTCTGTTCCAGTGCCTTCCCCCAGAAAAAAGCCCTGTATAGAGCCATAAAAGTAGCAGCTTTATTGTAGCATCAGCTTTCATGAGCTAGAGTCCACTTTCACATACATGTAGTGCGTCTTTAATTGGGAGATATGTATGCTTTGACATGAAGACGAATGTAAACCGTGAATTCAATGCAATGAAATGAAAGAAATGAAGTTTCTCTGCCAAGTTCCACTGTATACAAAGCAGGCACAGTGACCATCCACGATTGCAGGATTAAGCACCATAATCTTCCAAGGCTAGCTAAGCCACTACAGCTCACATAGTGTGAAGGGAAATACTTATGAGCGTCGAAACGACTATCGTGTATCTCCCCCAGTACTGTGGGGGGTGGGAGTTCACGAGATTTTGAATTTTGCACTTCTTTGCGCAGTTAGAGAAATGCGCTTCAATTTAACAAGCCTGCCATGCCGAGTGATTTTATTCATTTCATTGTGCTTAGACCGGAGTCACACTGTACAGCCTGACGCCGTTGTTTCCTCGGAAGCACCACACCACTTCCCGACGTCAAACTCCACCTCCGCTGTCATCTTATCCCTGTCCAGTTATCGCGAGATACTCCTCTTGCGGGCTGAGCGGCTGAGCGCATAGAATTCTAAGCGCCAGGTTCCATATTGGGGCATTGCCTCGAGCGTTTCCGTGTCTCACATCTCGCGAGACTTGAGTGATCGATTGGTCGGGGATCTAGGAAGAGGTCGGGAGAAGTCAGACAGTGGCGAGTCGTCGTCATTGCTTGTCTGCTCGTCCCCCCGCTTCTCCCGTATAAGCTCTGGCCTCCTCAAAAAAAACCCCATCGTATTGACCCTTAGTTGGCAACGCGGGTGACCCTGCCGCGGAGCCAGAAGCCGCTTTCCCTCCCTTCCCCCTTTTGACGGGAACCGAGGCTTGAGGTGCTCGGGCCAGCCTGCAGTCCCTGTCTGTCTGCGGAGGCCATAGGGATCGAGCGACCCCGTCTGCAGCTCCGGCCTCCGGGTGAGAAGCCCCCTTTCTCTGCAGGGGGAGGAGCCACCGGTCCCCTGCCTAAGTCTCCCCCCTCCCAGCCGCGCTGGGTGGGGCGGGCTTGGGGTCGAGATGACCCAGGAGCGGCCCAAGTTCTATCGGCAAGAACTGAACAAGACGGTCTGGGAGGTGCCTGAGCGATACCAGAACCTCTCGCCGGTGGGCTCTGGGGCTTACGGCTCTGTCTGGTGAGTTGTTGGGGAAACTTGGCTCGTTTGCAGGCGTAGTTGTTGGCCACACTGCGTGCATGGTTCTGACCGACACCCCGACACCCCCAATCCTATTCCTGCCACTGCTCGGAGTCGAGGGATGGTAGGTCCACGTTCCTGCTCTCAGGGCCTCTCGCAGAGAAGGGGTTGGCGATCGTTGTGCTTCATTCGCGGTGGTTGGAGGTACTCAGACTGGCTTCAGAAGGAGGAGGTTTTTCTCCTTTGGGAAGCCTGTTGGGTTGGGGGGCGGCGGATTTTAAGGACCCAAACTTCGGTGGCAGGTGAAGTCTTGCCTGTTGGATTTCTTTTACTTCGAAGCCGGTGCCCCATAGGTTAGTACTGGCCTCGTACATGACACATGTACGTATACGCTGTCGCTGTGCTTGCTGCAGTGTTCTGGCATCTTTATTCCTCCTGCAGTCGTTCTGTACTCCATAAAATTCACTCTCCTTCTATCTGCAAATGCAGAACACTGACTGTGATCTTGGCTTTTCAGTGCCTGGATAAACAAGTATTGAAATAAATGGTTGCTTGGTGGTTCTTTATTCAGTTTCACTTGCGAATTGCTGGATGTTTTGGGGATGTTTGATCCTTTTGTTTTAAGGAAGAGCTTAAGTGGCTTTATAACTTTAGGAACTTTCCAGTAAGAGCTTGTTTCCCGTGTTGCTTTTGCTATATTCTTTCCTTCAGATTGGCCATATCATGTGAGATTCTTGTATGTGCATAGTGGAAAGGATTAGGGTCATTATTATTATTATAGATTACACTTTTACCCTGTACTTCTGTACTTCCTCCAAAGAGCTCAGAGCAGTATACTTGGTTCCATTCTCCCTTCCCTTAGTCTTGTCCTCACAGTACACTAGAGGAAAAGTGTGGCTGGCCCACAATCACCCAATGAGCCTTATGGTTTCCTAGGGCTTTAAATCGCTCTCTCTGGCCAATAGTCTACCCATTATGCCCAGTCTTAGCAAGCAAGGACTTTTTCTATAATTGGAATGCATACTCACTAAGAAGGGGGGAAATGTGTGTGTGGGGGGTAGGGATTTGAGGGCTTAGGAAAAAAGCTGGGGAAATTTGGGGGGGTTCTTACTGCCCCCATGCCCTCCCTTTTTCCCATGGAAAAAGTGGAAGATTTGAGGAAATGCTGGGGGAAATCACTGTGAAAATTTTTTTTTGTTTTATAATGACTAAAATGTTTTTAAGGAAAGGTTTTTGACATTCAGAATGCACCACGTGAAAAATTCTGAGGACTATTTCCATTGTCCCAATGGAAAAATTGGATAGTTTGGGGTAGCACTGAAAAAAAAATGCTATGAAATTTTTTTTCAGTGAGGAAAACCTCATCTTGCAAAACATTTTACTCATTCCAAATTTGCAGCATGAAAATTCTGTTGACTTTCTAATTTTTTTTTCCAGCTGAAAAATTGGGACATTTAGGGGAGCACTGAAGGGGGAAAACCCCTCTTACATTGTAGACATATACAATATATGTTCAAGATTTTTTGTTTAAATGTAAAATCTTTTGACAACAATGAATATCCTATAATATTTTAATGGTAATACACTATTAAAGAGTTCAGTGTTTTCAGTGTTATAAAGTTCATCTTACAATCCAAACATGCTGGCATTCCTACCTATTGTGATTATATGAAGGTTCCCCCCCCTCCCCCCAAAAATAATACACTTCCTTTTGTTCACTAAAGAATTTTTCCACCTTTAATATTTATTTTTTCCTACACCTCATGTGGCAAAAATTAAAGATAGACGGGCTATGGTAGCTTAGCAGTACAATAGATGATAATTATATTTCCAGTAGTGTGTATGCTTGCAATTTTTCTTACAGAAAATGAAGTTATTTAAAGATTATTTAAAGAAGTTATTTAACTATAATTTTATATGCAGACTGACTTATAAATAATGCATTTCATGTTGTTAAATCAGTAAATAAAGTTTTGATTCTATTGGCAAGTAAATATTGCATATATTTCAAAATGTCCATTTTTTCTGCGAGGGGGGCACTGCATTTTCCTATGACTTCAAAATTTCTGGAAATTTTACTTTTCTAGTGTAGGCGAAGTTTAAAATTAGCATGATATTCAGAGTGGCACTGGTAAACAGGAAAGAGATTTGTGCTGCACCTCCTAGAAGTGTCACAAGCACCATGTAATAAGTGTTTGTGCCATTAGTACTACCTTCTTGCACACAGCTAAAATAGAAGCCTTAAGAACCCCAAACTATGAATGTTACCATGGCTACTGATAACTCTGCAAGAGGAAATTCAGAGGTGTGTATGATGCTACACAGATATAAAGAAAGTAAAGTGCGTCTTTATTTTAGATAATGGAGTACAATACGCCTGATGACTCTTCTGCCTGAAGAAACCACTAGTACCAATCAGTAGGCAAGGTGTGTCTGTATATTAATGCACTACTATCATACTGGGTGGAGGCAGAAAATATTATCCTGCTCTTTCTCGATAAACTCTCAGCCTTTCCAGATGATGCAGCTTACCTGTTGAAACTACACAACCATTGCTGAATCACCCAGATGACACTGCCTCAGCAAGTGCATACATTGTGGGGGAAATGCTGTTTCCCAGCATTCAGAAAGTATCCCAGCTTGTTGATAAGTTGGTATTCCATAGTACGCTGCATATTGACTATTGCAAAGGGCATCAGCTTGATGCTCATATATGTTTTAAACAGGATTTGGGACAGATGGCTAAATTGAATTAAATTAGTCTTAACTCAAGCTAACATATTGTCCAGGGTACTTGTGACACAAGTAATTCTGAAGGATACTGTTGTTTATGGGTGCAAAATACAATTCAAGATAAATGAATCATTTATTACAATTCAAGATAAATGGCTGACTCAGGCAACAAAATTCTTAGGTTTTCCTCAGCATTTTTAGGATTCTTATGTTTGTCATAACCATTGTAAAAACTCTGAAAGAGATGCATGAACATATAAACAGTGCTTGCCTGTTTGGTTTGAGAACCAAAGGATCAGATTTAACACTTCTGTTGTTCCATAGCTACATAGATCAATTTAAAGAATGTCACATTAATCTAATTTACTGTTGAACAAAATAGTCTTGTGTTTTGTACATTTTCCCTAAAAAATTGAAGCTATTGTCTTATTTCTTGGTTCAGGAATTCATGAGGCAGTATTTTACTTGCTTGTGTTTTCCTTTTATGTCACATAAGAGAGTAGCATGTCATATGTTCTCACAGTAGCTAACTGCTTTGGGTCTTTTTATAACAGGAACGGCAGGGTAGAAGTATGTTTAAAATATAGTGATGCAACTTCCTGACCTAACTTTCACAATTCTATAGAACCTGGGGGGCTTTGAAACCTGAACTCAGTGGTATATGTCCCTGGTTCTCAAGCTGACATCTGTAGTTCATCTGCTGTGCTATTGTCACTGTTAGAGCAGACTATCAGCAGCAAAGTTGTCTAATTTTCTTTTTTAAAAGAACTGTTCCTTGTTTCTCTCAACTAATGCTTAGGAGTACAACAGAATTAGCCCTACCTGCTTATCCTCTAGCATGGTGGTTTTTCATATCCTCCTTTACTAAGCATTGCTGTTAGTCCATTTAGTTGTTCTTGTGATAGCTTTGCAGGATGGTCACCCTCCCACCCTTCCAGTTTAGCCAAGAAGATTGAAGTTCTGTACCCTTATATACTTATGAAAATAAGAATATATATGCTTATATTACCTAATTTAATCCTGTCTCTGAGTCACGGGGATGAAAGAAGGCACTGAACTGCAGTTGTCTTCCGTATGCCTCCCCACACACACGTGCTAGAAGTTATGCTAGCACAGTGGATTCAAATCACCAACAGAAAAGACTAAAGTTTTTTGTTTGAGGATTGTCCTTACTGATAGATCCAGGTGAGTAGTCATGTTGGTCTGAAGCAGTAGAGCAAAGTTTGAGTCCAGTTGCACCTTTAAGAGCCACAAAGTTTTATTCTACACGTATGAACTATTACCTCCTATTTCAGTGTATCTGAGGAGGTGTGTGTGTGCACAGGAAAGCTCATACCTTGAATGAAACGTTGTTGGTCTTAAAGGTACCAGTGGAGTCAGACTTTGTTCTTGTCCGTATTGATGTTTCATTTGTCATATGTTAGAACCCATGTATAAATTGTATATTTGACTATGTAACTTTACTCTATAACTTTTCAAATTGCACGCACAATAGAATGTATATCTTAATTCATAACATAATTTTCTCTGTTTTTCTCTGTGTCTACCTGCAAGAACACTGATCATTACTTGTAGACAAGATTTTCAAGACTGATTTTTTCCCCCTAGGAAATGGGAAGTAAATTGGTGGAGAAGCAGGCAAATTCCAGAGCTCAAATAGGATGCAGAGAATAGGAGCATAAGGACAGTCAGGTTATATGGGGCTTTGCTGGGTGATCTTGCTGCAACATAAATTATTCCTTATGGAGATCCCAATGCCTATGATAACCTGTCAGTTCCTGGCCTTCAGAAGTAAGCGCATAATATAGTATACTATCCATTGTGTCATATCTATAATGGTTGAATGAACAGAAAGCCTTGAGATTTGTTTTTTATATAAGAAACATTCCTGTCTCATGATGAATGTGATAGAGGATAAAGGATTTAAGTCATAAATGTAGGCTTTGCTCAATAATTTGTGTTGCAGTCACATTTCACATTATGGCTTTTTAAAAATTGGATTGTAGATGAAAGTTAAATCTGACTTGTAGAAAAATCTGTTTTATACACCCTGCTTGTTGGTGCCGTGTTCCCTCAGTTTGTGCTCACAAGACTTTATCACTATACAACTGTAATTTCTAGATTTGTAAAACAAGAAATCAAAGATTTTTGTGAGATTTGTTTCTGCATGCAGTACCAAATTATGTGTACAGTTATCTATACAGTCCTGAGGACAGATAGAGCAGCGTTGGGTAGGCTTATTGGGTACTGGGTGTAGGTCATGCTGAATTAGTTTTTTCTAGCACATTGGGCTGCCAGTACTATGCTTCAGCAAAGTGTGTACATAGTGTTATCTACAAGACCCGACAGATGTCTAGTATGCTTTCTTAAGGCAGATATAAAGCACTAGCAGCCTTGCATATAATTAACCACCTTCAAGTTTAAGCCTTTCCCAACATTGTCCTCTGCATTCCATCCTGTGTATATGAGTTATTCTGTGAGCTGGTCAGTTAAGAATAATTGGAAATGTGTATAAACAAAGTGATCCATACTGTGCACTTGGTTTAGAAGAGACAGTGTTTTGAAGTGGTTTGCAGTGGTTAACTGAAGAAGGAAAAAGGGTAGAACAATTATTATGTACTATTTGTACATTTTATAGGGTATGCTATTGGCTTTGTTCAGATTATTTAAAAAAGCATCTGTGAAAGTTTTAAAGCTCTGAGAAACATTGGGAGAATTTTAGAAGGCAGCATGTTTTTTACATCCTCTTGTAGAGTGAAACAAATATTGAAATGTTATTTGAGGGGGGGGGGACCTCTGCAGTAAGTGCAGTAACTATGCTTGCAGCTTTCAGAAAATTTGTACCGGAAAAAATGAACAGTACAATGAGAAGTTCATATTCTGGAATTTGGGGGAAGATCAATTTACAAGCATACATAAGGAAGGGTAGTGTAATGTTTAGCCTGATGCAGAATTGGGAAAAAGATAACCGCAGATTTGTGTTGAAACAGTACTGTAAATTCAAAATTCATTTTTTGCCAGGAGGACATTGTCAGTGAGGGAGAGGGGGAATTTTTGCTCATTTCCACTCTGCCACTGTAGACAGCTATATCACACTTCTAGAACTGGGGACTTCTTTTAACCCCTGGAGTTTGTATTTTGGGGGTGAGTGCCCTGGGCTGCAGCCAGAGGGGAGGGGATGGGCAGGTTCCATTTTTATGAGTTGAGCTCTGCTCATAGTACTCTGGATCCAATTCTACATGGCTGGTACTCCTTGTTAGGTAAAACCCTGTTAAATGCTACTCCATGTAAATAAACAATTGTAAATAGAACTCATTTTAGTAGTGACTAAAATGAAGCCCAGCATGGTCTACTGTGCATGTATAATATTACAAATAACATAGTTTATTCAAAGTTTAAATCTAGTGGCCAACAAAGTTTTATTCAAGTTATAAGCTTTAAGTCCAACAAAGTTTTATTCAAGGTATAAGCTTCTGTGTGCATGCACACAGGTAGAGGGTGGGAGCAGTAAATCAGCATACAGTATATGAAGATGTTTAACAGATTCAAGGACCAAACAGGAATAACAAGCTTAGTTTATATGGTTATATCTTGAATAAAACTTTGTTGGTCTTAAACGTGCCACTGGACTCAGACTTTGTTCTGCTGCTTCAGACCAACACGGCTACCCCACCTGAATCTATAGTTTATTCAAATCACAGTGCTGTCAGTCAGCAAACCAGGTTGGCTAAAATGCAGCTCAAATTATTTCGAAATGAAGTGTTAGGCCTTTATCAAATGTATCACGTTTGCTATCTCTAGCTTTGTACTGTTCACACTTCTTTGTAACTTTGGTGATTATCACAGACTTAGACTGGTTTTGTTAAATTGTGTGGTGCTAGTTTGACTTAATTATCTTTAGAATAATTTTAAATATCAGGTTTCTTTCTGTAATAGTTTGTCAAGCAAAACTTGATTTAGATGTGCCAGAGAGAGAAAGCAGAAGTAGAACGATGTTGCTTTTAGCTAAAACTGTTTTTTTTCTGGTTCTTGCGACACAAAAGCACTTAAAGTATTACAAGGCAGGATGCAGAGTATGGGGCCCATCTGTAGGCTAAAATAAAACACTTTATCAATAACTTCAGGAAAAGAAATTTCCATAGAAGCAAGTACAGACGTTTGGTAACTTCCATTTTATATTTTGGGTGTCAGAAGCAGTTATAACTGAAAATAAATCCATAATCTACAGAGTAACTTTTGTATTAAAATGAGCTTCTTTCTCCTTATACCACGCTGACACTAGCTTTGATCTAGCATGGAAAGATTGACACATTCATAGAATTAATGGAGGAGGCTCAATGCAGAACAGAAAGGCTGTTTACTCTGTTTTAATGCTCTCTTAATTGTAGCTGCCTTGGCTTAATTCCCCAAAGGTCAGTGGAATGGTAAAATTGGCTATACTGAATTACAGACAGCTTCTTGTCTAGTAAATCTCACTCTTCTGGGAGGTTTTGCTCTATGCTTTCTTCCTTTTGAAAGAGATCTGTTCTTTTACAAACTGAGAAACCAAACACTTTAAATGTTAAGAACAATCCCCAAACTGGTCTGGCTTATAATGAGTAGTGCTCATTATCAGCAGTACTCAACAGTTGCAATGACACCAGTATGCAGGATTGTATTGAATGATGTTTATTTACAGTCAAAGACCATTTATCAAAATATTAAGGTAAAGGTTCCCTTGCTCGAAAGCCAGTCGAATCCGACTCTAGGGTTGCGGTGCTCATCTCCGTTTCAAAGCCGAAGAGCCAGCGCTGTCCGAAGACGTTTCCGTGGTCATGTGGCCGGCATGACTAAACACCAAGGCGCACAGAACGCTGTTACCTTCCCACCAAAGTGGTACCTATCTATCTACTTGCAATTTCTTGCTTTTGAACTGCTAGGTTGGCAGGAGCTGGAACTAGAGACGGGAGCTCAAAATATTACATGTTCGTTAAATACAAGCAAATTAGCTTTCAGCTCTAAAATAAACATATAACCTTAAAATCATTAAAATGTTAAAAGGAGAAAAAATTAACAGTCCATTATATCAAAATAATTATGAGATGTTTAAAACTAAACTACTTATGAGGTATGCGGCATTGTAACCTTACTGGTTGTGCTTTGGGGAGATTGGGGTAGTTCTAGTTTTCCAGCACACAGCTTGAAGTGTAACAGTTGAATTGGAGAGCATGACAAGCGACAGAAAACTGCTAATTATGGGCAATGTCTGCTCCACTGTATCTTTTCCAAGTTTCTGAAAAGCCATCATAGCAAATTTCTGAGTTCTAGAAATGTGGATGGTATTTGAAGCTGTATTCCACAAATGACTTGTGCAATGAGACATGCAACATATTTCTGCAACCTCCTTTGTGCAGTAAGAACAAGCTTCTGAAATGTCACAAAATGCAATTTGAGAGGTTGAAATACTTAAAGCTACAGGAAGTCATTGCTCTATGTCTTGTTCTGTCACTGAATGATTGCACAATTTACCATTCTTCCTTTGAAAATGTAGTTTAATTCCCAAACTAATAGATACTTTTTAGAACAGCTCTGATTTTGCATGTAATATTTCTGAACACTGGTATGAGTGTTTTCATTCTTGTTTCCAGAGTGCTCTGGAACAAATCTTAAGCTTGTGGTCTGTTTCTTCTTGAACACAGATTAAAACCTGCCAGTGGGCATGAGATAATCTGTTACACATTTTCACTGAGAACCTAGAAATTGTAGGTCGGTATTTATATGCATTCTTAAAACTGATTTTGAAACTGTTGTTTTGTAGCTCTGCCTTTGATACTAAAACTGCCCAGCGAGTGGCTGTGAAGAAATTGTCCAGACCATTTCAGTCCATCATACATGCCAAAAGGACCTACCGTGAATTGCGTCTGCTTAAACATATGAAACATGAAAATGTAAGTTGGGGGGGGGGGTTAGAAGTGTGGAATTCTGTTTTGAATCATGTGTTAAGAGCAAAGCCATGGTTAATTGCAGAGTAACTTGTGGTACAGGCATAACACCACATCTTAGTGAAGAGCAGAAGATATTTTGTGCTTGAGAAAAGAAGAATTGGAGAGAAAATTAATTCCTGCTCTCTTTATTCATAGGATGAGGAAAGATTACTTCTGCACCAGCCCCAAGAGTAATATTTTGAATATATCTGGACTGGTTCAGGTTGTCTTTAAAGTGTTTCACAAGGTTTTGGGGGGAATTATGTTTATGAATGTCCTATGCAATTCAAATTTTATGGTGCACTTTCCTTAACTAATTAATGTTTTTAGTGTTAGCTTAATGTTGGATTGTTTTCTCTGAGTACTTTGTAGCTGTGGGCAGTTTGGGAGGAAATACTGTATACATCTTTGGAGTTTGTTCAGGATTTTCTTATGGATTGTATTGTACCAATTTAGAGGGCAGACTGTCAGGAAATATTGCCTCAGTTATCAGCTGTGGAAACTGTTGCAAATGATCTCATAGTTCCAGAGTGTTTCTGGAGAGGTAATGTTGCAAAAATATTCTTTCCCCTTTATGCTGCTGTGGAGAAGATTTTAGGGTTAGGACCTCAAAGTGGATATCTTCCTTCACATAAGTTTCCAATACTGATGTGTGTGCCTTGACCACAGTACTGGAAATCTGTACAATTAGGCCACTCTAACCCCAGAATATTCTTCAGCTGTCAAATAAGTGTGACTTTTATAATGCTTTCAAATAGAACTTTGGTGCAATGTGTTTGTCTTTAATATTCCTTCAGTCACACCAGCAAACACCAGAGTAGTAAAAAGATCTGATGGCTTATTCAAACTGAGGCTGTGTGAAGGAAGCTCTGCTAGACTGTCAGCTGTCATAATATCTGAAACTTCGGTACCAGTGTGTTGCTTCAGATCTTGTTTCTTAATGGTGCATTCTTCATCAGAGCATAACCAGGCCTCTATATTTTGCTCACAACCTGGCAGTGCTTGAGTGAAGGAAAGATTCCTAAATTGAAAGGCTGATTTTGGCAAAATATTTGAATGGCAGAACTCTTAAGGAAGGTGTGACAGTACCTCTCTCTTATTTTTGTGTGGTTAGGTGTGATGCAGTTTTAAATTTCTTGTTGTTTCTTTCTCTCACTCAAAGTATCTATTGCTGCCACCAGAAATTTAATTCCAGTCTTTAATTAACCTTTCCCACAGTATTGTGCCCAAGCTCTAAGGCTCCTTCACTGGACTATGTGGTTCTGAGGATAAGACTCTGGGTTAACAATCTCTCCTTATATATAATTGAGTAAGAACATTCTATATGAACATTCTAAATTTGGCCCCTTTAGTGTATGGACGCTTGAACTGTCAGTCAGAAGACGCTGGCTGGGTTGACTGGCTGCTTTGTGCAGTCCCGCCCAGCGTTTCAAAGTCTTTTGCATATGGAAGCTGATTGGACTTCACTGCATTCCACACCTCAAACTCACCCCCCTCCCCGCAAGGCAGTTGGAATGTCAGTTGCATATGGAACCTTCAAGGTCTTTTGCATATGGAAGCTGATTGGACTTCACTGCATTCCACACCTCAAACTCACCCCCCTCCCCGCAAGGCAGTTGGAATGTCAGTTGCATATGGAACCTTCAAGGTCTTTTGCATATGGAAGCTGATTGGACTTCACTGCATTCCACACCTCAAACTCACCCCCCTCCCCGCAAGGCAGTTGGAATGTCAGTTGCATATGGAACCTTCAAGGTCTTTTGCATATGGAAGCTGATTGGACTTCACTGCATTCCACACCTCAAACTCACCCCCCTCCCCGCAAGGCAGTTGGAATGTCAGTTGCATATGGAACCTTCAAGGTCTTTTGCATATGGAAGCTGATTGGACTTCACTGCATTCCACACCTCAAACTCACCCCCCTCCCCGCAAGGCAGTTGGAATGTCAGTTGCATATGGAACCTTCAAGGTCTTTTGCATATGGAAGCTGATTGGACTTCACTGCATTCCACACCTCAAACTCACCCCCCTCCCCGCAAGGCAGTTGGAATGTCAGTTGCATATGGAACCTTCAAGGTCTTTTGCATATGGAAGCTGATTGGACTTCACTGCATTCCACACCTCAAACTCACCCCCCTCCCCGCAAGGCAGTTGGAATGTCAGTTGCATATGGAACCTTCAAGGTCTTTTGCATATGGAAGCTGATTGGACTTCACTGCATTCCACACCTCAAACTCACCCCCCTCCCCGCAAGGCAGTTGGAATGTCAGTTGCATATGGAACCTTCAAGGTCTTTTGCATATGGAAGCTGATTGGACTTCACTGCATTCCACACCTCAAACTCACCCCCCTCCCCGCAAGGCAGTTGGAATGTCAGTTGCATATGGAACCTTCAAGGTCTTTTGCATATGGAAGCTGATTGGACTTCACTGCATTCCACACCTCAAACTCACCCCCCTCCCCGCAAGGCAGTTGGAATGTCAGTTGCATATGGAACCTTCAAGGTCTTTTGCATATGGAAGCTGATTGGACTTCACTGCATTCCACACCTCAAACTCACCCCCCTCCCCGCAAGGCAGTTGGAATGTCAGTTGCATATGGAACCTTCAAGGTCTTTTGCATATGGAAGCTGATTGGACTTCACTGCATTCCACACCTCAAACTCACCCCCCTCCCCGCAAGGCAGTTGGAATGTCAGTTGCATATGGAACCTTCAAGGTCTTTTGCATATGGAAGCTGATTGGACTTCACTGCATTCCACACCTCAAACTCACCCCCCTCCCCGCAAGGCAGTTGGAATGTCAGTTGCATATGGAACCTTCAAGGTCTTTTGCATATGGAAGCTGATTGGACTTCACTGCATTCCACACCTCAAACTCACCCCCCTCCCCGCAAGGCAGTTGGAATAAATTCCTGGGGATTTGAGGGGTGGAGACTGGAGAGGGTGGGGTTTGCGGAGGGGTGGGACATCAGACAGGTAGAATGCCATAGACTCCACCCTCCAAACCAGCCATTTCGTCCTGGGTAACAATTGTTGCCAATTTCCAGGTGAGGGCTACAGATCACTCAAAATTACAACTGCTCTTCAGGGAGCAGAGATCAGTTCCTCTGGAGAAAACAGTGGACTCTGCCATTATACCCTGCTGAGGTCACCACAGCAAAATGACACTGTTTGCCCAAAGCCAGAGCACTCCCCCAGAGCCTCTTTCTAGATCTCGTTGTATTTATTTCCACAATGGGCTTTACTGCTAGTAAACAAGATAAAACTTTATTGGTAAAAGAAGCATATTGGTTACAAGATGTTTTGTTAAGTTACTCAGTAAAATCTTTCACTTTTTACTCAGGTCTCTTGTCAGCTTTTCCCCCTCACACTCTTATAATACTCTGACAATATTAGATTGTGCCTAAATTGCCCCCTGAAGTACTTTTCTTTCTCTTTTAGAATCTTAATGCCTTTCACAGCATCTCTATATGATTCTAACTGGAAGATTACTTCTCAGACTCTATGTAGATTATCCACAACTGACAGCTGCTGACTGCTGACTTCAAACTGAAAACTCTGTCTTCTCTCTCTTCACACACATACCTCACACTCTCAGTCACCAACCAATCATCTCACTCACTCTTCTCTCTTTCACCCCCTTGTTCATTCTGACACTTATCAACCATTTAAAGAAACACACACATATAACTTGAAATCATTACAGAAGGTTTCTGGCACATGTGTCTAGATGTTTTGTATTACCTTTAAGCCTAGCAAAAAGAAACTTTCACTGTAAGCTTGTAAGTTACTACCATTCATGTGTTAGTATTAAGGTTCTTATTGTTAATACACTAAAGAAACAAGGCTGTAGTTTACAAAAATGCAAAAAAGGGAGGGGGGTGGACTAACAGTCCAAGATGGCAAAAAACCAAGATTAAGATTGCAGTCCTAAAAACAATTCTCAGGAGTAAGCCCCATTGAATAAAATGGGATTTATTTCTTAGTTGATTTGTTTAGGGTGGCTCTCTAAGTTTCCTTTCTCCTTTAAGAAAGATTAATAGACATGGTTTTATGCACCCTTGGATTTCCCCCCTTTATCGACATTGTATTATCACTGTCTTCTATGTACAGTGAAATGTTTACTCTATAACTATTGATCTTCCTCTAAGGATAGAAAAATCTAAGGTTCTTAACAACTTATAACAAAAAACAAATCCTGAAAGAAGTTCATAATATAATGATACAAGAAGGGGGACCCATGATACTCACGGGGGGAGGAGTATTTCCCGCAGCTCCCGGCCTGCGGAAGCAGGAGGCGCTCCGCAGGAGGAGGAAGCAGCAGCAGGTGAGCCCAGCAGGCAGACGCATCAGGGCCACCAAGCCTTCTCCCTCCTCCCTCCCCCCCCGGCAGCGGCGAGGCCTGAGGCCCA